GTAACAGTAAGAATTTAGAAACATTTATAACTGGCCCACATTTGAAGGCGCCTTGAATCGAATTTCCGCCTATGACCTAAAGGAAACATATGCAATACTTTTCTATTCAGGCGCATAACTTGCGGTTACTTCTGAAGCTTCCCGGGGCTTCCCACTGGGTTGATTAAGGCTTCAAGTAGAGCTGAATTCATGTATTGTGGGGAGAGCAAAGGTAGAAGACCTAAGCTTGGCTTGAAGGCTGACCCACGTCTAAAAGGGCCGGGCGAATGCTAAATTAACCACTAGATGACAAATTATCACGTAGCCAAGACGTTACAACTTCGGTATTTCTTTTGCCCTTGTGTGCGTGGACTGACACCCGGACCATGCCAAACTAATCCCTTCTTCTTAGAATGCATGTTTTTGCTTAGCGTGATGTTTTCTTATACTTGGAAAATCTCGAGCTGCTGCAGCACTAGAACTCCCATGCTTCATTGTTGCTGTTAACAATGGCAATGAGCTTGAGCAACGACTGCAATACAAAAAATTGTTCGTCTCTTCCAAATAAAATGGTCTGCAAGCCATGCCAAAAGCCCATCCACAGGCGTAAAACATGGTTGCGTCCTTGCAACACAATGAGAAAAGTGATGCTTTGGATCAGACCGGAAGTCAAATAACACAGCAGAAGCGAGGTAACGGGTGGGGTAAGGTAGTAATCACTCCTTCCAAGGGTCGAACATGCAAATAACCATGCCTTCCTATTCGCAGTAAAAAATTTAAGCAATAGATTTGTCGTTAGTTAAATTTTAAGCCGAATTTATAGCCTAATGTTGACATGCAATTGCCGTGGTTTGGCGTGTCGGATGCTATTCCGATCATTTGAAAACATCAGCTAGCAGTAAATTTGTCTGCAATATCCCCATTAATAGATTGGAATCTCTGCAAATGATATTCATTAGTGGCTCAAAATTTTGCACAGCATATAAGATTTATATTAAATGGGAACCTTAGCTCTAGAAACCCATTTTCCATCAGTAGCATTGTGTTTGTTTAAATTCACAACTGGTCTATTTATACGCGTTTTTGGTCACATACGTTTCAGACGGGTGCCCTGCTGAGTGGTGAGGTGCGCTTATTTACTAACTTATTCCTTATCCTGTGCTGATTCTGCTTATAAGTCCAGCTTACTTCTCTTATTTTTTTGATTTTATTGCATATGTAAGGTTTCAGTGTTGCCATTATCAACTAGTTATCCTTTGCCATTTTATGTGACTGTGGGATTTGCTTTGTTTTCCAAATTCTGTCCACATTTTAACATGGTCAATACGTTGGTTTAGTATTATTGGAGTTTCCTCTGTCGATTCTGCTTGTTTGGAGTTGGATAACTCTCTAGTCATCACAGCTGCTAACCTCAACTGGTCATATCTTAATATACATAGAAATGGCTCGATTCGTATCCTACCTGCCTCCGGAAAAGCTGAAGGAGTTGAGAGAAAACGCCAATGCTATTGTTGCTCCAGGCAAGGGCATTCTAGCAGCTGATGAGAGCACAGCTACTATTGGCAAGCGCTTTGCCGCTATTAATCTAGAAAATACTGAGGAAAACCGTCGAGCTTATCGCGAGTTACTCTTTACCACTGATCCTGAGTTTGCCAAACACATCTCTGGTGTTATTCTATTCCACGAGACTGTCTATCAGAAGACCAAGGACGGTAAGCCGTTCGTGGAGCTTCTGCGTGAACGTGGTGTCCTACCTGGCATCAAGGTTGATCTTGGTGTTGTTCCTCTTGGCGGTACCGCCGATGAGTGCACTACCCAAGGTTTAGACAATCTAGCTCAGCG